TGCAAGAAGGGCAGCAATGTACACGAAGTTAGGAAAAGAAATTTGGGCCTAGTTATGAAAGTTTTTAAAAGCCCGACTAAAAGGTTTGTATTTTAACCTAGAAACAATAAGGAGCCAGTAGAACTTTTTGAATAGGGGAGTGACAGGGTCAGATCTGACTTAAGGAAAATCATTTTGGCAGCTGTGTGGAGGAAGGATTGGACAGGGGAGAGACTTGAAGCAGGGAGACTAGTTAGGGAAGCTAGTATAATAGTCCAAGCAAGAAGCAATGAGGGCCCAAACTCAGGGGGTGATTACATGACTAAAAAGAAGAGGTCAGAAATGAAGAATGTTGTAGGGGAAGAAATGGCAAGATTTGGCATTTGGCAACTGAATGGATTTGATTTTGGCGACGAAGAGTGAGAGGTTAAAGGAGAATGCCAAGGTTATGCACCAGTAAGACTAGAAGAATAGTGGTGTCCTCAGCAGAAATAGAATAATATAGGAGAGGGGAGTACTTGCCGGAAAAATACAATGAATTCTGTTTTAGACATGTTGATGTTGAGATATCGTCTGGTAATTCAGTTTGAAATGTCCAAAAGACATTTAATGAGGTAGGATTGAAGCCCAGAGGTGAGACTGTGGCTATGTGTATGAAGTTAGACAGAAGAGAACCCAAAGCAGAGTTTAGTTGGTATTTCCACAGTTAGGGGCCATGATATGGATGATGGTCCAGCAAAGGAAACAGAAGAGAAGTTAGTTAGGTGGTGGTGGTTGTTCATCTTTTGTCTTTGAAAAGGACCAATGACATCACAGGGTGATCCAATGGCAGGACAAAATGACTGGCAATGGCCCAGATGCAGTGGATGATTTTGGCATCTTCCATGTCTGCCCAAGCTCCAAGCGCTCCACAGTGCCTGCTTCAGCCACCTTCGTGGCCCTTGGAATAAACTGTTCTCATCTTTCCATTCTGCCCTAGGGAAAGCAGGCATCCCCCTAACTCACCAACAGGTTTGAGCCCTTTTAGTTACCCTGAACCCTGGGTTAGTAAACCCATCAGCCAAGACAGTTTACTGGGTGGGGCCACTGTGCATGCTACAGCTTCTCGGAGATATAGGTGAGGGTTGGGTGAAGGTGGACACCAAAGGTAGATGAGCAGCCCAGAAACGAGTTTAGCTGCCCTCACACCATGCACCCCAGTCAGATAGGTTAGATAACTAAGAATTGGCAGTGTCATGTACAACCAACAGCATCAAATGCAGCAGAGAGGTCTAGAAGGATAAGATCAAAAGCAACTTTGGAAAGAACAATTGCAGTTGAGCGATGAGGCTGGAAGCCAGACTGCAAAGGGCTGAGTGGTGACAGGAGAAGAGGAGGGGAGGCAAGGATTGTAAAGAGCTTTTTCTAGAAGTTTGAATGAGAAAGTAAGAAGAGATGCAGGATAATATGTTGAGGGGATGGTATGGATGCAAAGAAAAAGCAAAATATTCCCTGTCCTCTAGGAGCTCATGTTCTAACAAGGGAGACAACACTTAGAGAGGGTTTCAACTGCAAGTCAATGGAAAGATCACGTAGGCCTGAGTGTGCAGATGCTAATGCATGTTCTTTAGTGCCATTTCTTCTCATAAAATCATATCCATTTCCATTAAATTGCAATCCTGTTCTTGAGAACAGGAGTGACTTTTTGCTTTGTTTTTTATCCCCAGCACTTAGCACAGTGCCTAGCACATGGTAGAGGCTTAATAAATGTTTATTGATTTCTGATATTGAACCATTCAATGGTGCTAAGGACTCTGGTGGTGAGAACTTTCTTTCCAGGCATTTGGTAGCTGTGGCTGCTGAGGATGTGAGGGTCAATGCACAGGCAGAGGTAATTACCAGGCTGCACCTCTATAGGGGTTGATTGCTAGGATACTGACAGCAGCATCTGTGAGGAGGGGGAAAGGTAATCAGTTAAGGAGAAATAAAAGCTTGCCTTGCTCTAGTGAAGGCCCAGTTGAGACTCAATAACATAAATTTGTAGTATACCCAATCAACTCAGTTTTATGACTTGCCCCAGCTCTCTTCAGTAGCAAGTGAGTGGGAGTGGAAGAAACAGATGGCAGGAGTAATTCAGGTTTAAGGTTGTCAAGGGATGAGCTGTAAGAGGAGGAGATAAAAGAATCACAACAAGCATGAGTTAAATACGTTAACTATAGAGTTGGGATTTGTAGGGAATGGAAGTGAAGTTAGAGCAGAGATAATAGCTTCAGAAAATACTGAAATTACTGAGTGAGATTGGAGGTCCCAATGGAAATAAAGAGTCCATTTAGGAGGGTGAGGTGCAAGGAGAGACAGAATGATAAAAAGGTTATGGTCAGATGAAGCAATGCCAGAGTTTTATCATGAAAGTAGGATATCTGAGGGGAATGGCTCATGAAATGTGGTGTGACAGCCCTGTGTGTGGTTGAGAACCAATTGGTTCTCACCAGTTTGAGAAGACTGAGGAGTGGAGAGACTAAGATGTTTGTGGGAGCATCAGTAAGTCCCCTCATATAGTGGTATGAAACGCAAATGAAAACTGAAGCCACTAAGCTGTACAATATGCAGACCAAATATTGACTTAGAAAACTACATATTTTACATTATCTATGTTCTATTGTATTTTTATTTATTTTGTGAAATATTTCCCAATTACATTTTAATCTGGTGGGGTCATACTCTGGAGTATTGCAGGTTACAATGCACCTGTATTTGACACCTCTGCCCTAGAATAAAAGCAAGAATTTTTTTTTTTGAGGAAAGGAAGACAATAAGGCACTGTATTCCTTGAGAAAGAATAAAGCTGGCCAGGGGCAAACAACAATGACCACAATCTTTACAAGGTGAAAGTTTTTAATAGAATGACCTTCAAAGGAATTGGGCCTTGCTTGCAGGCTGTCTGAGCTGGGTCCTGATCTGGAATGGGCAAAGACCAGAGGAAGACAGTCCAAGAATTTCAGGCTAGTGATCGGCCAACGCAAGAGAAGCTTAAGAACAGGAGGATTTTGGTGACCTTCAAATCAAATCCTGAAGCATAACCCAAAGAAATGCAGCGTAGCTAAAGACGTCTGCACGTGGTAGAACGGAATTATTTTGGAAATAAAATGGGATTGAAGTCAGAAGACTTGGGTTTAAAGCCTATTGCCTTCCGAGGCAAATATAAAATGCTGTGTTTAGCATTCAAAGCCCTTCATAACGTAGTCCTCTCCTACCTTTATCCAGTGACACTAGTCCCCTGGTTGTACCAAAAAACAACACTCTCCATCTCTCTTCTTGTGCCTGGAATTCTTTCCCTCCTCTACTCCCACTACTGACCTCCCTGGCTTCCTTTGAGTACCAACTCATCAACTCAAATCCCCCCTTCTAGAGTAAGCCTTCCCCAATCCTCTTAATTCTGGTGCCTTCGCTTTGCGAATTATTCCCTATTTATCTTACATACAGCTTGCTTTGAATATGTTTGTTTGCTTGTTGTTTCTCCCACTGGACTATATGCTCCTTGAGGGTAGGGACTGTCTTTTAACTCTTTCTGTATCCCACCCTCCCCCACTTAGCATAGCACCTGGCACATACTAGGTACTTAATAGATTTTGATTAATCAATCAATTGGTTGGTTGGTGGGTTTAAAGCCTAACTTTGTGACTTAATACCTGTGTGATCTTGGACAAGCCAATTAACTTCTATGGCTCTCAATTCTTCATCTCCCAAATGAGTGAGGTTGGACTGGAGAGATGACAGATAAGGTCTTTTCCAGCTCTAGACCTAAGATCCTGTAAATCATGGTTCTCTTGGCTTCAGGTCACCTTTGCATCTGTAACTGAGGCACAAATAGCAACAAATACTTCAAAAGTGCACAGAAGTGAAAACAGTGCATTCATTATTGAATCTTCTATTGCCTCTGACCCGCTTTTCGATTGTAAGAACATATTATTGTTGTTCTGTCACAGCTGACTCTAACCCCATCTGGGGTTTTCTTGGCAACTATACTGGAGTAGTTTGCCATTTTCTTCTCCAGATCATTTGACAGATGAGGAAACTGAGGCAAACAGGGTAAAGTGATTTGACCAGGGTCACACATTTAGCAAGTGTCTAAGGACAGATTTGAATTCAGGAAGATGAGTTTTCCTGACTCCAGTCCTGGCACTCTATCCACTGTACCCCCTAGCTGACTAAAAATATGACCCTGCCCAAAAATGTGAGCTCCACCTCCTGTGATTCTACCATGACAATTTCACTCTTTTTAAGGCTTCAGGAGTCCCCTACAAAAATGCAAATCCCTCTAGGGAGAGAAAATATACTGTAAGCCCTTATCCATTCACTACTTTGTCATTAACTAAGACCCTACTCATTAAAATCAGGAAAAGAAGAAGTATTAGACAAAATGTTCGGGATTTTTTAGAGGGACCCTGGGGAGTTTTATAAAGAGCACTGAACTTTACTTACACATTACTTAGATTTACTTTCACATTACTTAGATTCAAGTCCTTGTTTTGACACCTGTAACTATGAAAAAACCACTTAATCTCTTTGAGCCTCAGTTGCCTCCTCTGTAAAATTAGCATAACAATACCTGTACTATCTACCTTTTGGGTGTTGTCATAGGAAAAGCTAGGTAAATTGTGAAGCAGCATAGAAATGTGAATGATTATCTTATAAAAATATTGAATGAAACTTGGTCCTGCTAAGAAATTCCAGCTCTAGAAAGTCCTACATAACTATGAAACTAAAGATAATTATCCTTTACCCCTCAGTACCTCTGGCAATTCTCAGGCTACAAGTTGCAGAACAGTGGCCAATCGGCATGCAGTAGGAGCCCAGTGTTTGTGAATTAATTGGCTATTTGCAAATAAAGCACAACTATTTGCATGTCATAAGGTAAGAGTTGGAGGCAGCTGGGTAGCACAGTGAAAAGAGTGCTGGGCCTGGAGTAAGGAAGGCCTGAGTTCAAATTTGACCTCAGCCACTTTCTAATTGTGTGACCCTGGGCAAGTCACTTAACCTCTGTTTGCCTTAATCCACTGGAGAAGGAAATGACAAATCATTCCATTATCTTTGCCAAGAAAATTCCATGGACATTATTGGCATGAAATGGTTCTTGGAGTGAAGGATCAGATACAACTGAATGACTAGACAACAAATGTAGGATCTGGAGTTTCTAAGGAGTTTTATATACCCATTAAATTACAGGTCTGGACCATTCCTCCTCCAAAAGAAACCCTACCTCTTACTCATAGCCAGTGATGACTGTAATAAACTAAGGTCACACCTCAATTCCAGTATAATGTGTAGGCGTCGTGATGGCTAACAAGGTTGGCTGGCAAAGAAGCATTTTCCTCTACCCTCCTTTCTGTGAGAAGGAGTTGAATTCTCTCAGATACTTGTCTTTACACATGGTGTGAGTCAGAGGCAGAATTTTCTCTTCCGATATCAGACTTCCTCTCTTTCTCCCTCTCTTCTTTCTCCCTCTCATTTCTCCCCATATCCTTTCAGACATAAGGCAGAGATTTGCCAAGGGACACACTATTCTCTCAAACCTCCTCCAATCCCAACCCCCCACATACACACTAGAGGAAGGATTAGAGATTTTTATCCAGCACATCTTATTAAAACAATAAGCCCATTATAATAGAGGTGAAGAATTGGATTCAACTTAAAATTTTGCACAGGGAAGGTTTCTAGAATTATTCATAAAATACATAATAGCTCATCATACCCCCAGGAAGCACCTAATGTCCAAGCTGGAAAGCAAACTTCCCAGTCAGTTAAACTCTGAGGAAGCAAAAAGCCAAAGTCTTCCCCATTTGAACCCAATGGAGGCAACCAACCAAATCACACCCTGGGAAATGCAATATTTCCTGATCTACTCTAAATGTACATGTAGAAAGAATGAAGTCAATATCAAGGAAGTGCTTAGAACATAACAAGGAAACATCATATATAGATCATTAATAACATGTAAGTAAAAAAGAGTTGGAGAAAGATAAACTTTGTTGATCTTCAACATCTTCTCACAAAAGGACAATACAGTTCAGCCTCTTGCCTGAAGAGATATTTCATCATGATCAGAAGTTCAAGTCAGAAAGGGAGAGCCTCTTCCATCACTGAATTCTCTAAATCTTTCTCCCCTCAATTGTTGTTTTCCTTTCTCTACAGTGCCTAGAAGAGAAAGACTCAATGATTAACACTATAGCCATTGCTGCCCAGAAAGCTTCCACTGCTCCTCTTCTAGACCAATTTAAGCTTCCTTGGGGAAGTCAAAAAATCCAATGCCATCCCCCTCCTTCCAATCCAAGACTCATGATTCCCAACTCTCTTCCCCCTCCTCTTTTAGATCAGTTTGAGCTTCCCATAAAGCAGTTAAAAGCCTTCCCCCCCCATCCCTATTCCAATCCAAGTCTTATGATGCCCAGGCTGAAAGAACAGCCTGTTAAGACACTGGACTACTTTTCCCAATGTTGCATGCAACTAGTCCCTGAAGACTTGCTCTGACTGAAGATATGTCCAAGGGCTACCCCTCAAACAAACAAATGATTATAGCTGAATATAGAAATGTTACCATGATGAGACACACAGTCCATGAAGAAACAAGGAGAGAAGTCAGTACACAGCACGAAAATGTCCATAGTATACTTGGGAAGGCATCAAATACAAAATTTCACTGACTTCTCAGTTTTAGCTAGACCCAGTCCTGGCTGATTCATATAGTACCTATTTACAAAGAACTTCCTAAAGACAAAAATAGTAAGATAGACATAAGTGCATACTTACTACAGGTATGATGTAAATAACATGATTATATATATTACATGTGTTAAATATTATGTCAACAATTCAAATGAATGCTAATAAAATATTCAAATGAATGATGCAACAATAACGTACCCAGAGTCGGAGTAAATTAATTTTTTCCAACATGGGTACACTTCAGTTATTACACTACAGCCTACATTGATCTAAGTTCAGGGTTGAACACATGAGTACTCAATATTTTTTTAATCCAGTTGAATTATTGACTAAAAATCAAATCAAAATGAAGAGGGAGGGAACACAAAAAACAGAACTGATGGTGTGTTGGGCCAGGCAAATTTTCTTACGGGTGACTGAATGAAAATGGGAAGTAGGATAATGGCAAAATTGGCTCTGGGTTTCCTTACCCCTGGGGTAGAGCAAGAACTTGGCTGGGTCTCAGGCCTAGCAGCACCTCCAGAGTTGAGGCTGTCACGTCCCATTTTTCCTGCATTCTTAAAAAAAAAAAAGCCAACTCTAAGCAACACTCCAATGTTTCACTTTCAGTCTCCCACATAAAGTCTCAGTGGTGTTGAATCAATGAATTAGCCCAACCCCCTTCAGCACACATGCAGGGACTCAATCCAAATTACTGCACTGACATTCCAGGACAGGCATCCAGCCCCTAATCCTCAGTCTTCATGCTCACACAGCCATTCCCTGGCACATTTCTCTCCTGTGCCCATCTGTCCGGGTGGCAAAATGCCCTCACATAATGCAGGAGAGCAGCTTCAGCAATTCATCCATGCCAATTAAGAAAGGAAATAACCCAAAGAGGCAGAAAATCCTGCCCCTGCCTGCAATGCAGGCAGATTGCTCCAGTGGTCCTGGTCTCCAAGCAAGCCTCACAGCAAAGAAAACACTCAGCTTGCTAAAATATCATGGAATTTACAATAAGACAAACAAATAGAGGAGGTTTGGAGATGTTTTAGGTTTACAGAATGTCTCCTATAGCAAAGAACACAGGTTTTCATGAAGTTGATAGTCCAGTTCCAAAAAACACACATTCTAATACATGTAATGTCTACAATGTATGTTGGTTTGAATTAGTATGCATGCAGTATAAACATGTTCAGTATACATAAAGTACAAATGCATGTATAGCATACATATGTGCTCTGTGTGTATTATATAAATGCATATGTATTTAAATAGGTGTGTATACACTCATTAGATCATGACTATGTTCTATGTTATATGGTATAGTGGAAAGAGCAGTGGATTTGGTGAAAGAGAATTTGAATTCTAAATCCTGGCTCTGCAATCAATTATGGATGTGAATTTGTCAATTCATTTAGCCTCTCTGTGCCTCAGTCTCCTCATCTGTCTGGACTAGATAACCTATAAGGTCCCCTTCAGCTCTAAATCTATGAGATATGATCCTAAGATTTGGTCTATAAGGCCCCTAGCACAATGCCTTGCACATGATATCTGATCAAATAGCTGTATATAAATCAATTGGTGGTTTGGGGAGAAAAAAAGCACAACTATTTGTAAATCCACAATGTAGTAGCCTGTTGGAGTTTTATTGTGGATAATCACCTGTAAGTGAATAAGACTTTAAGTCTTATTACGTGTAGACCTATGAATTATAGACAAGGAAAAGGAGTCAATTTTTAAATGGAGCATCACCAACCCACCAAAAATGAAAGGGCCACATTAAAAAAAAACAACTATACACATACTGAGGTCTTATTGGTGTAGAAGCTCTGTACAGCAGCAAAGATATCCTCCTATAATTTGGGTAGAGACAGTCTTCCAGTGTTGCTAAAGCTGAAAAATTCCTCACCATTGAGCAATCAGATGCTATCAACAAGAGGAAAGAGAAGGGAGAGTTTTAATCCCACAAGTTTATTTACCCCCTTTTCAATAATTTTTACCAAATTTATAGAGTTATCAGACAACAGACATACCATTCTTAAAGTCCTTCCAACTCAATAGATTGGGTCAGAACTTGTGTTCCATTGGAATAGACTTCAAGAACCCAGGGTCACCTCCATGTCACCATGAGGCATCAAAAAATGATTTTAGCAGATGATATATGATATGCATAAATATATTGCATATGTGCAAATGTACATCTATAGATAACTTCATATATTTGTATTTGTGTATATGAGTATGTGCATATGTACGTTTGAATATACCCTTGTGCCAGTGTCTTGTGTGACATAAGGGCCCATATACCCCTGGGCAGATTTCTTACCCACTAAGGAAATCTGATAACTTCACTAAGTGACATTAGCCATTTTGTTGTCATCAACTTCCCCTGCAAGCACATAATACATAAAATTCGTTTGAAGTAGGTTATTCTCAGGTCAAAGAAAAAAAACAGAACTTCTATCAGAGCTCTGGTGGACTTTCGCCAAGCCCAGCTGCAACTCCCACTGACATATGTACTCTGAAGGCAGTGAGGAAAGTAAGAATTTAACTAGGTGGGAGCAAGAAAAAAAATAAGATAGCAAAATTAACGGGGAAAAATCAGAAAAACCATGTTTTAAAATGTAAAACAGACAGATATGACCCAAATCTGTAGACCCTGTCTTAACTATTGCCTGAACACCCCAGGCTTGATGCAACACCCAAAATATCCAGCACCTAAGGTATAAAAACAATCTTGAGTTTGGATTTATTGCTCCTCTGACTAAGAGCTCTCACTTTACTCTGGTTGCTATGACACTGGGACCCTGGACAAGTTTCACTATGGGGGAACAAAAAATACGTGCATGCCCAGGGAATCTGTCCACTGATCGCAACTGTTACTGGTTCTGATTTTTTATCATGTATCCTTGCCCTGTGTCTAACAATGGTATTCTCACCAATTAGGTAAACTCCTTTTATATACCTACATATATATATGTGTAAATAAAAATTTATAGAGTGAGATAGATAGATGGATAGATAGATGGATAGATAGATAGATAGATAGATAGATAGATAGATAGATAGATAGATAGATAGATGGAAGTATAGATAGACATCTTTCCAGGTCCTTCTTCACGCTATTTGTTGATTATCTGTTGATTATCTTCAATTTATCTTGTATACATCCTTTGTAAATAGTTGATTGCATGCTCACTCCCCATTAGATGGTGAGTTCTTTGATGACAGGGACTATTTTGCCTTCCTTTGTCTCCCCAACACTTAGCACATCGTCCAGAACATAGTAGGTGCTTAATAAATGTTTCTTGATTTGACTTGACATGACAAGTAGATAGAGTCATAGACAAAGGCATAGACATAGATATACCCCTAGTTTTTGAGATTCAGTCATTTTCAGCTTCTCTGTATCTGAGGTTAGGTTGGCTTCCTCAACCTCCTAAAGTAAGAGTTCACAGAAATTAACAAACCTCAACAATGGACAACCTTTTCCCTAGAGACCAGTACACCCTCAATTACCCATAGCCATGCATTTGGTGGGGCTCGCAGTTACTTAATAAGCAAATCGTATTATATTATTCACTCTGCAGCTCACAGCAATTGATGCTCATCTCTCTCATTATTACTCTCCATAGCTCCCAGCAGCCAGCTGGAAGCCATTCCTCTTTCAGTTCTCTGTAGCTCTTCATCAAGTGGTAAAGGTTTCTCTGTCATGGACTCTATCAGAATACTGTAGAAGGGAGGGTTTTAATAATGAACAGTTTTATTGCTATAAGGTTTGGAAAGCACTTGACAAATATCATCTCATTTGATCCTCACAACCACCCGAGAGGTAGGTGCTATTATTATCCCTCATTTTACAGATGACGAAACTGAGGCAAACAGAGGTTAAGCGACTTGCCAGGGTCACATATTTAGTAAGTGTCTGAGGTGGGATTTGACCTCAGATCTTCCTGACTTGAGGTCTTGCACTCTATCCACTGAACCACCTAACTGTCTGAGATTTTAGAATTTCCCTTAAAGAGAAAAAGTACATTACAGCTCAAACACAAGGTCAGACCAGGGTCTCTCACCTCTGAAATTATTCCTTTGTGCTATGGTTCACCCATCAAAGACAAAAGTTCATCCAGGAATTAGTAAAACATCTCACCTTTTTCATCTCATCCCTGAGTAAGTCTCTATAATTGACATAGTAGTTCCATTATCTGCTGTCCTCTTTTCTCTACCTGTCTCAATATTTACCTAGAAACTGACAAAATACATGGATTTCTTCCCAGGAGTCTCTTTGGGGGCAAATAGATGGGTTTTTCAAACCACCCAGGGCTGCTTCCACCTCCAAGGCAGCCAAGCATTCCTGGCCATTTCTCTTCAAAGTAGAAAAGACAGGGAAAATTGATCAAGAGAGGGAAAGGTGGGGCAGCTAGATGGTGCAGTGGATGGAGCACCAGCCCTGGATTCAGGAGGACCTGTGTTCAAATCCAGCCTCAGACACAGACACATAACATTTAATAGCTGTATGACCAGGCAAGTCACTTAACCCTACTGCCTAGCCAAAAAAAAAGAGAGAGGGAGAGGTGAAAAGAGAGAGGGATGCTCCCAGTTTTTTTTTTTTCATTCTTGGTGCAGAATGATGAATGAGCACATGGATTTTAGTCTGAAGATGTGGAGTCTACTCTTGGCTCTGTTATTAACTTTTTGCAAGTAAATCACTTAACCAATCACTTGTGTTCCTTCTGATGTTTGGGGGGGATCAACCATCCACATTAAAGGGGTAGAGTTGGAAGTAAATAATAGGCTTTTTTAGATCAACACAAATATGTGAGAAGTGAAAAATGTAGTGAACCCAGTTATTTAGCAAACCACAGATGAAACAAAATTGTATGAATTAAAGCAGTCTATGTTTTGGGGTTGGTTCATTTAATTGTTCATTTCTCTAAATTTAGACCAGTTTGCATATGGAGAGACAACTATCATGAGTAACAGAGAAAGATGTCAGTGCAATCACCCAAGGAAGGGAATGATATTGATGCAGACAATGCACTTGATGAGATAGGACAGGTCCCTGGCAAAACTGTGAAACTTGTCCTGGAGGCTATCAGCCTTTCCTCCCTTTGCCTTTTTCCCTTCTCCCTGACTCCTGTAAAGCACAGCAGTTCCCCACTCACTATCAAATACTTGCGGGAAAGCATTTGACATCAGCCATTTACTCATAAGTCTGACTGTAAGTCATTATGTCCCCTTCTCCTAAGCCTCATCTCTCATTGTAAAATGAAAAAATGGGAATAGTCCAGCCATTTATTTTTCCTTTGCTGTACCTTGGAACTGTGCTTTCACACAGACAACTACCTCTTCATTCCTGGAATTCTCTTCCAACTCACCTCCATGTCTTAGCATCCCTTAAAGAGATCTCCCTTCAAGGCTTAACTCAGGTGCCACCTCCAACAAGACCTTTCCTGATCCCTTCAATTATTAATAGTTTCTTCCTCACCTTAAAAATTCATGGCATTTATTTGGCACATATTTTATATTTTTTTGTCTATGTAAATGTTGTGTTCCCACCCCACCCCCACTTCTGCCCCAATAGAATGTAATCACCTTGAGGGCAGGGATGCTATCATTTTTGCTTTTGTATGCCCATCACTTAGCATGCTGTGATAGTGCCTTGAACGTAATTGGTAATTAATAAATTCCTGTTCAATGAAAGTGAATAGTTTTAGAGGGTAGACTGGAGTGCCATCCCCCCCCAAAAAAAAATCCCAACACAAAGATGGCAGCCAGTTCCTTCCCCTTTATGGAGACCATATAAAGACTGGCTTTGGGAATTAATACCAAATACCATAGTGATTCACTGTGGCTGCTCCAACTCCAAACAGTCCTGGTATTCTCTTCCAGTGTTTTAAACTAAGGGAACTACCTAGAAATGCAGCAATTTGAGAAGGAAAAATTCTAGCTTTAAGCTGAATAAAAACATTAACTCCTCTTGCCATAATTCTCCCCCAAGTTTAAGTCATCTAATTGGAAAACAATATACAGCTCAATATTGGATTGAGCACCTCAGTTTAGTATCTTCCTACTCTGATCTTAGATTATATTAATTACTAATTAATACTTCTTTGCTTTCCATTCATGCAGAAAGAATCAATACTTTAATTACAGCCTGTTTAATAATATGCCTTTATCTTTCTTCTAATGGCACTGCCAGTTTATTTAGATGCAAACATCTAAGAATTTTTATATCCCCTGGAGCAATTTCTCTTTTAAATACTTTCAGTGATACAGTCGCTTTGAAGCAGTAAGCAACCCAAGGAGACGTAGCATGAAATTACATTCTATCTCCAGAGGTTTTGTAGTTAAATAAGAACCTGTATCTTACAAGGTTATAATTCTTGATCAATGGATTGTCTAGAGTAGGTTAGTGGCTTTATTAATTAATTGTTATTGATATTGTGTTCTGTGAGTGTCACAAAAGTTTGTGAGGGATGGAGGGATTGTCCTTTGTTATGAATTCTAGTCTTTGGTGAGGAGAGAAGAGGGGGTATGCAAGGACACTGGGGAAATGGGGCAAAGCAGCTCATCATGTTTTTTTCTGCCATTGAAATTATGGAGATTCATTTGACCCATGGTGCAAGAATTTCAATGATTGATTTAAAAGAAATTTTTACAAAGCAAGAACTGGTCTTTTTTCTTTCTTTTTTAGTAATGGAAGAAAAAACAGGTTAAGTGCAAAAGGAAAAAAATAAGAGAAAATGTATCCCTCTTACTAACTTGAGCCACAAGACAAGAAGTGAAAGAAATTGGGAGCGGGGGGAGAGGCTATTTCTGACTTTCTTGTTTTGAGGTGAACAAAGACCAAAGATGTTCCTCCTGAGTGGAAGGAATGTCTCATTCTTATTTCTTCCCCTTTGTGAGTTTTCCTGGAGGTCCTC